CCCCCGGGGACAGCAGAGGGTACCACCGCTTCGGGTATGGTTTCGCCTCACCATGAGGCCGCGTCAAGGGAAGGTGGTGGCGGTGATGGGGGGCAGAACGTTGTTGGACAACCAACTGCCATGTTCGGTAAGGGACCAGTGTCGAATTCCCGCGGAATCCGGACTACATCGACTGAGGTACCGGGCGTAAGTGGAGAGCCCGCTGACCATGATGAGCCAAAGTCTGCCCGGATCCGGACTTCTTCAGAAAGGGCTCCACAGGCAAGGATTATCGTGCCGACGGGAGGGGTGACGCACGTGGGGGCAGAAGAGCGGGCCGCGGGATTCGACATGGTTTTGGGAGAATTTCGTGAATGGCATGGGAGGGACGGAGGGGAAGAACGGGAAGAACGGGAGGAAGGAGAGGAAGGGGATGAAAAAGGGGATATCAATATTGAAGGTGACGAACGGCTGGGCAATGAGGAGGATGCCGACTGCGAGGAGTCGTCTGACTTGTTCGGGCACCTTTTCGCGGGCCATCCTGGGCTCGATGTTGACGACGATGCGACGACAATGGAGATGGAGACACAGGTGGTCAGTGACCTGTCAGCAGACCCTGAAAATTATGAGGTTCAACCGCTGACGGTTGCAGTCGGTCTCCAACACCGTTGCGATGAGGTTTCCGCTGCTGTGAGCCCGGCTCAACGAAGTGAATAATTGAGCGTCGTTGAAGTTATCGATGGGCTACTCGGCGACGAGCAGGTGGCCGGGCAACGGTCTGCAGTGCCTGTCCCGGACGACCGCCAAAAAGTCACAACTTTCGTGCCCTCTAACACTGTTTTCTCACCACCCACCTCTCCGATACAGACCGTAACCTTAACCAGCGTCTGGGAGGGCGATCTCGGGGGCCGACAACATGTCACGTCCCCGAAACGATCTCGGGTCGGGACTCAAGCTCTCAACGTGCTGGGCTTGCCCGCTCCAAGGTCGCCGACGAAGGACCGAAGGGATAAAGCGGCTGGTAAGCAGTGATGAACGCCGCGTTGTACACGCTCCCCGGCTAAGAACATGGCCAACTCAATTGAATGACGATTTTTCGCTTCACGCACAGAGTCGTGGCTTAAGTCCGCCGTGATCCGCACTTCCTATGTCGATGCGTGAGATGGTTAGTTTTTGTGCGCCCGTCGTGGGAAGAAGTCCGCCGGGGAATGTTAGCGTTTCGCTTTTGTGGCTTGTTGTTGTTTTCCTTTGTTAAGGTCGGGGTCTCAAGCTCGATTGCGCTTGGCCTATTGTTCTCCAGTGGCACACACACAGCTCACATGGCCATGCAAATTCGGACTTCTGTAATTGGAGAGGTCATGTGTCTTGTGGGTTGTGTGGTTCTTTTACATTGTCACTTTCGTCAAACTCGTGTTGGGTAACGTATATTCATTTTCCGTTTTGTCTTTCTTTTGTTGTACAGGGGTAGGGCTTTGTTCTACAGGGGTAGGGTCATCTCGAGCACGGAGGTCCTCGAAATATCCGGAACACATATTGCAGAAAGCCCCCGGGTTAACCACAAAACACAAGGATATGTTAAAGGCATCAGGGGTTGATGTCGAGATCAGGAAGAAAGAGCATGCAATTGCCATTGAGGAGTGTCTTTCCCTTCTGCCCCCAGAGAAAGGGACATATCCGCGATCTGTGAGTAGGGGTCAGGCCATGTTTGAACAATACTTAGCAAAACATCGTGCAATGAAGGACACTGCTTAGACACTTCGTTTCTCACTACCCCACGTGTCCTTCGCTCGATGTTGTGCAGTGCGGGCCACAACGCGTGGAACAAGCGGGGAAAGATTCGTTGAGCGATTGCGCCTACCAGCTTGCGGGTTTTGGAGGACATTGGACGAGGCTTGGTGCCGCCTCACACTGTTCTCTCTATCCTCGCCGGCGGCCAGTTGCAAATTGCGGCAAAAGATCTTCTCACCCTCTTGCATGTCGACGACAGAATAAATGATGAGGTGGTCAATTTTTACATGGCGCTGTTGGGGTCGACCGCATCTGCGATAAGTGATATACCATGGGGCCTTCAAGTCTACAGCTTCAATTCGTTCGTCTTCACTAAATTGCAACTTCAAGGACACGACGGGGTAGAAAGGTGGGCTAGAAACGTGGATCTACTTCGATACGATATTATCTTTGTTCCTGTCCACAAAGATAACGGTTTCTGAATCCTCCTTTCCATCAACTTGAGAGATGATGTCCTCAAAAGTTTTGATTATTTTCCTCGCGTTATTGCTGATTCGAGTTTTTACCTTAGTGTTTTCGATTTGATTGTACAATATTTAGAACGTCGGACATTACATACTAGTCAGTCGTGTAGCAGTTGGAGGTCAGTGGCAACAAAGGTTCTGGTGGAAGCAGTTCCAAGACAAGTGGATGAAGCTAGTTGTGGGGTGTTTATGTTGATGTTTGCGACATTGTTGCAACATGGTGATCGACCACATTCTGTGTGGTCGATCAACGCTCAACGGGATTTGTACAACGGAGTTGAACCCGTTGTACATCTCCGGGGGTGCCGTTGAATTCCCGTTGAACGGTACAACGGGGGCTTCCCGTTGTATTCCGATCAACGGGTCCGGCCCAATGGGCCGCAGACACGTGGAGGAATCCCCGTGGAAAAAAAAAGGTAAAAAAAAGAAGTGAAAAACCGCTCTCTGTGAGTGTGTGTGTGTGTGTGTGCGTGTGCGTGTGTTCATGTGTGCTTGTGTGTGTGACAGTGTGTGTGTGTGTGTGTGTGTGTGTGTGTGTGTGTGTGTGTGTGTGTGTGTGTGTGTGT